GTTGTTATTAAATGATAGAATTCACTAAAAGTATATAAATATGTAATAAATAAAATAATTTTGTGATAAAAATGATAAATGAGGTTCATCTATTGTCAATACGTTGGTCATTTTCATTTACACCTGAAAAAACAGTAAAAAAAACATAATTTTTGTAATTGGGCGGGGCTACCCGACACATTTTGAAAAGAGCTGAAAAACATGTTTTTTTAAATTTCTATTTTTTTTAACTTAAACTATTCTTTTTTGGTTTGTTCTTTTTGCATTATTTAATTAGATGATAAAACAATAGAAACATACAAAAATATTGATTATTACTCAATATTATACAGAAATATAAGCAATACTCCTTAAGTGGGTGGGGCTACCCGACTCTCCCCTATAGTTAAAAGTAATTAGTTTTAGGGAGAAAAAAAAATTTTTTTTTCGCCTTTTGTACCTCAGAAGGTAAACATTTTCAAATAAAATATACTATTGAAGCAAGCCTCTTAAATATCCGAAACTAATTAAAAATGCTTAAAATATTTTTTAATTAAATCTTTTATTAAATTAACTTATTTATTACATTAAATTATTTTCGGAAATAAAATTTCTTTTAGAACATGATGTAAACGATTTTTTTTCTTTCAATAAACAATATATTTAGCGTGTTGTATTCAGGTTATGAAATAAATGTTTTTATTAAAGGCAAAGACTTATACCGTTAAAACAAATGTTTTGGAAGTCTCGATGATTGCATAGGTTCCTATTTCGCATTCGCCAGTACACAGAATCTGTTTCCCCATTCAGTATTGGCCAAGATACGTTCTGATAACCTGCAAAAGAGATATTTGTATTGTTACTAGCTATTACAGAAAGAAACTCTTAATAATCGAAAATAGGTTATTCTTTTGCACTGATGTTTATCATTTCTTACTTAAATTCTACAATCAATTCAATAATATGTTTCATAAGTTTGCACGTATAAATAATTTGATTGATAGATTTATTCTTGTTTGAAAGAGATAAAAAACCATTGCGTTTATGATTATGTCCACTCCATTTTTTTCGCCTGAGGCCGAAATGATTTGATAAATGACAAGTGGTCTGGAATCATAAGGTCTCGACCCACAAGTGAGTCTCGGGCCGCGAGGTACTGGGGACGTGGATACTGTTCGAGGGTCTAATCCAAAATAAATTTTGAGGGCATTTGTGTACAATAGTTTATCATAATTTTTTACTTGTGTATTTAGTAATTTATAAATTAAACTTTTTTTTTTTACAAAATTGGTAAAACACCACAACTAAAAAAGTTAGGAACTGCGAACTTAACACATTAAAGTTCGACTTTTTATATCGAAATGATGTTGTTGTTTACGTATGCCTGTTTAGGCAGAGGGGGTGCAATTGTTCTTGTTTTCCAGTGGCGCTATCTATGGCCAAGAATTCGACATCTGCCACACCATACGTCACACCCGTTTATAGGGCGATCCCATTCATACATTCATCCACAGATCGTAATTTTGACCTGAATCAGAGAATGATCGATCTCCAATCCAGTACCCCCAGAGGTATTGATTTGTTAGGGGAACATGGAGGACTTTTGCGACTCGACAGATTTACCGTGCATTAGTCACTTTACTACACGGTAGTCTTCAGCCGGCGGGGTTCGAACTCTCGGACATGGGCCCAGCGCCCTACCGACCAGGCTATCCCGGCCTATCGCAATGATGTAAAAAGTACTATTATACCAGGAATGATATTTTACATTAATATTTAAATTAAGTGGCTATTTTCTTTTATAAGTTAGCACCCGAGGTTATATTAAGTCCAATTCGTTGATTTCAAATCTGAAAAGCATCGGAGTCTTTTGTGATTTAATATATTGCATCACAGTGGACATGAATCTTTTTTTTTTCCTATTAAAACTGTTAATGTTTTACAATCAGAGCGGGAATTGCGAGCATTATTGAGTTTAATATACAGTGAAACCTTTTGGAAGCGACCATCCTCTGTTCCATTACCTTCTTTGACTTCAAAATGATATTGAAGGAACATGATATTTTTTTTTAACGATTTTAACTTTGGTCAATGTCATTTCCTTGGTGCGGAAATCTTGTGTTGGCGTCATGAAAACTGGATCAATGATTAAAATTTAGCGCCAATAAAAATAATCTCTACTCATATATTTATGAGGGGGAAAAAACAAAACAAATTTACCAATTATGAATGATAGTAGGGGAGAGTGGGGTCAATTGTAACAAGGTACGATTGTAACAGAGCAAATATTTCGAGTGTCGGGTTCTAGATTTGGTTCCTAGGTGGCGAAGAAGGTGTATTTAATAAATCTACATGTACACCCCTGCTGGCAACCATTTTTATGTACTTTTGAAAGAGTTACATCACAAAAGATATTTTCACGCCACGCAAGTACTTTTTTTGGTATTAGAATATTATATTGTAACAAAGTAATTTTGTTTAAACAAATAAAAATTAGTAACCGAATATGTAAGTGGACACTTTAATTAACATTTCAATAAAAAAAAGATTAGTTTTGCTAATTAACTAGCATTGTTTTTAACAAATGAAGCTGAAATGGCGTCTTGGGGACAATTGTAACAATAAGTAAAGGGACGATTGTAACAGCTGAAAATAAATAATCTTATGTTTACAAACCATTACTTAACTCTTTAAGAACCACCAATAGTTTCCTATATCATTTATATTATGTTGCATGTGCATTATTTTATTTGTCACCTTTCACAGCATAAATTAAAATTTTTAACCCCTTAAAGTTAAAAGTTTAACCCTTTAGGTCTCTGCTCATTATTATTTTTACTCCTAAAATATCACTACTATTTTGATCAATAAAAAAATATATCACAACTATGATAATATGTATAATTAACTATGTTTTAGTTGAATTTATGAACTGTTACAATTGACCCCGTAAGTGGGGACAATTGTAACAAGTGCACGACTGTCAAAAATTGTTAATAACTAATATAATAACATTTAAAATAAGGTATTTATTTTTTTTTCTAGTAGAGGATAGTCTACTTTACTCGTCTGTCAATTAATACTAATAATATATTGGAATTTTTGTCAGTTAAAAATAGTTAAGGAAAAAATGTTACAATTGACCCCCCTCTCCCCTACTATTTTAAACAAATGAACAATTATAGTTTAGTTTGCTTTTTGATTTATATTTTTAAAAAAATAGTTAGCTTTGAAAAATGAGAAGTTTTTTTTTTTTTTTGAGATGCTTAGTTTTTTTTTCAAAAAGAACCTTTTTTTCATAATTTAACTTTCAACTCTTAAAAAAATAAATCATTCATAGCATCACCTTTTGTGCATTCTGACTACAACATGAGGTTGTAGATCTTTTTCAGCGATCGCCAAAACGAGCTCTCTAAATAAGAACCCCCCCCCACAAGTATTTTTAATAAATTTTAATCTACTTATTTGTTTTAGTAATCTGTTTTGTTTAGATATTTTTTCGTGTTTCCTTATTTGAGCTATTCCGCATTTTTTGTTTGAGGTTTGTCGAGTCGCTGGGAGAGGTTATGATGAAAGGTTTCATAAAGGTTTTCTTCGACATAAAGTCTATGGAAAAAAATTCCGTACCTCCCAAAAATGGTTGTAAATAGAGGTGATCTTTCCTGTAGGTTTCACTGCTGTTTTCGATGTGAGCATATTATAAAATATTAGGATATTCAAAAATATTCAATACAAAATATTCCAAAAATTCTGTGAAGGAAGGAATTCTGTGTTAAAAAAAATTCCAAATGTTCTTATTCTTTTGTAATAAGAGTAAATATATAAATTTTGTATTGTTTTACTATCATCGTATTATACTGTTGCTACAAACTTCATTTTTTAAATTATAGGGATAAGCTTAACTTATTCGAAATTGATCTAAGTGATTTAAAAAATTTTTTAAATTGAAAATGGTATGTTGCTATGAATAAGCAAGTGAAGGACTAATTGTTACATAAAGTAAAGTAGTGCTAGTCAAATAGCTAATTCATTATTTTGTCTTACTAAGAACTCAAATAAATTGTTAACTACCTGTTGGAAAAGATGTTTGTGGCCAGTCCAACTCATTTCCAAGTACAAAACTGAAGTTCTTTAAGATTTCCTATTTCAATGCGAAAAAAAATAGTCAATTAAAGTGAAATAATTAAAAATTTAATTTAAGATACATTATTAACCATAAGTTTAAAAACAGACAATGTTAATTTACAGAACATTAGACCATGTGTTGTTGTACACCAGAAACACTTTTTAATTCGAATAAAACGAGCTTTTCGTTTTCCTTTAATAAACAATGTAAAATATTTTTCTTGCAATTTAATATACTATTTTATTTCACAGTTTTTAAAAATTTGCGAAATTTCTAACTAGCATGAAAGCGAACGTAAAATCGCACCTTGATGTCCAAATTTTAAAATCTCTTAATTTTTAAAACTTACATTGGTAAGCAAATTTTTTAAAGATGTTTTTTGATAGGGTGGTTATTAATAGTACAATAAACATAAGTCATTTCACTAAAATTTGGCTAATATTTTTTTTAAAGAAGAACGTTATCAAGACGGCATTTTCTTCAAAATAAAAGTACAAATATTGCATATTTTTTGTATTTTTAAAAGAGTGTCATGGCTTGATCAAATAGATAGTATTTTACTTAAATGCACAATGGAGTTTTGTGCACAGGTTGTAAGGATATTAAAATTACGTCATTCAACATGCCATATGATAGAGCAGTTTGTGGCCAAGAATGAAAGAAAAGGAGATGACTTGGCGATCATAAAATCCTTTCTTTTCTCCAAATCCTTGGTTTTTCGTATCTCTTTCACCAAGGGAAGAAAAAAAACACCGTTTAAATACCTTTAAGCAAAACTCTAATTTTCAACTAAACATATTATCTTGCCGTGGAGAATTATCTGGGCTTTAGAACGGACAAATTACTTAAATATTTCAAAAGTTATAAAACTTCATTATAAATCGCCAATTTGGCGATATTTTCCCACCTAGATAAAAATCACTGTCGTTCTCAGTTCTTGCAAATTTTTATGAGCACAAATAACGCAGCATTGTAGTAAGTTTTTAATTATTAAAATAAAAAGCTACAACAATTTTCATTTTGACAGAACTTTTAGAACAAGCACAGAAAATGTTGGCTATAGGTAATCTATAGTTATAAACTTGACCTAACTGTCATGAGTAACTGTTGCAAACTCAAATAAGTTATGAAAATAACATATTATTACCAAAAAAGCATCATTTTAAAAAACAGCGTGTTAAAGAGCGAATTCTCCCTATGGAAATACAATATATCTCATAAAGTGATTGTAAATTATAAATGTTATAGAACAGCCATTTCTTTTTTTCGTTTGAAGTTGTTGTTTTTCTATCGTAGTACTGAAATATTTGAATTAAATCTGCATTCTTTTCTCTTATGTTTTAAACATACTTATAAAATGGAGAACTTGTGGTGATAGCAGTTATCGACAATGTCAACCTTCATCTGTGAAAAGGTACCACTACATAGAATCGAGTTAACATGTCTTTTATACTAGTAAATTTAAATTATATTTTTGTAATAGTAGATACATAACAGTAATCCCCCACCAGAATTATAGCTGCGATAGAATTCGATGAACGGATACCACTAGTTGATTCATTGCTGTTTTGTGAGAAGCCGGGACAGCTGTATTAAGATCACCATACTTTTTGAGTGCTGATTGTGAGAGCTGTATGAAGTTCACGGTCGTGGTCGCCCCTGTGTTGCCTTTAGCAGTCGAGTGAATACGTTGTGTGATCGAGACTGAGTAACAACAGCGTGAGGAGGACAATGTCGCAGTCACGAGTAGCAAGTCAACTATTCAATGTGGTCCATCCATCGAAGTAGGCGTGTTCGAATCTTAGTGGGCGTTTTTGCCAAGGTAGGCGTATTCATATTATGTCCAAAGGTCACCAATGTGGGGAAAGATGTTTAGACAATGCCCACCTTCTTCTATGAAGAGTTACCTCGTGATTGAATCAAGTTAGCATGTCTTATATACCAGTGAATTGATGTTTAATATTTGTAGTGGTAGTTACGCCACAAACTTATGGAATTTACTATAATGGGAACTTACAATAGTCAATTCTTTTGCAGTTAACCAACTGGGCGGTACATGGAAATGGGCCCCAATGGAATCTCCTATGTAAATCAACCCTTGAGAAGAAGTTCCTTCACATAGTTCCTCTTCATAAGATTTTCCTGAAGCTTCGTTCATACCCTATAGTTTAATACATGACAAATTTAGACATTTTTTTTAAAACACTTTTTTATTCTTAATTTTATTTATTTATTTTTAAAATAAACTTTGGAAAATATCCCGCATTCAAGCAAAATATGACGAGAGAAATAATGCGCACACATTACCATGCGTAGTGTGGCATAAATATACAATTAAGAACTTAAATAACGCATATGTAAAACGGCATTTTAAAAATACTCAAATTAAGAAATAGCGTTGCATTTGTAAGATTTTGTGACCACCAACCTAGATGCCTCATACATTTAGCAGAATTCTTGTCAAAATATAATTAAAAAATATGTTTAACAGGTGTCGCAAGTTAAATATGTAAATTAAAAAAAGAAACAAAAGTAGTGCTATTAAAATCTATCGAATTATTATTGAGGTTAGTAACAGTGAAGGTTGAAGAAAAGATCAAAACCGTTTTAACTGTTGAATAATACCTCCTTTGGATGTATCTACTTTCTTTAAAATTTTGTCTGAAAATCAAACAAATTTTGATACTTTTATTTCCACTTTCTTAATTGGCCACATTTTTATAATTTATTTTTCTTCAATTTTTACGCTTACATGTCTACAACTCGTGATATGCTAATATTTTAACTCGTAATGATTTTAAAAAAAATTTTAAATGTAGATTAGTAGCAATGAAATACTTTATATATTAAAACAATTTATTGATAAGCTTTTATTTATTATATTCTTACCCATATGCCGTTGCAATTAGAATCCATAATGATGTCTTGATCCATTGGCCTAGAAAATTACAGAAAGTTTTTTTAAAAAAGAAAAAATTATAAAAAATGAGTATATATATTATGAATTACAGTTAACAGATTTTAAAATATTAATATCAGAAAACTAAATTAATTTCATCCATAATCGACAATTTTCTTATTCAGAAAGAGTAGCTATGCAGTTCGAAAATCAGCATAAAGTTAATGGTCGCATATCGCAGTATTATTTAAATAAAATAACTCACAAATAATGTTTGACTAGTATGCTCCCTTAAACACATATTAAATCCGATTACAATATTATTTCTATGTTAGCGGATAGAAACCGCTTCTTAAAAATTTTCCTAGTGAGTTTCACAATGGTTTAATTCCATGAGTTTTTCTGTTAGTTGAAATTTATTCTAAAAAGTAGGAAAGGAAAGGATGAATAATTATTCTAATACGCACATTAAATTTAGTTTATAAGTCAGCAAAATAATACTATACGTATTAGACTGACATACGAATGAAATTTTTTTTAAATTTTTATTTTATTTTAAACATCATATAAGAAGGAAGACATCTCATGCCATGTTACAAATATAAGATTAAATGAAAGCAGAAAAAGAAAATGATTGATAACAAAAGAATAAGTAAAAACTTCTTTTTCTTTTTTAGTAACTTTTTTAAGAGGACCAAGCAACAGATATTAAACTTACATTCTTCCTGGATAGATCATATCGTTAACATCATCACAATCTCTTCCTCTCCACGCATCTCCTCGAAAAGTCTGTAAATTAAGTGTTACATTCATTATAATTACGTTGTAGTAGACTGTAAAGCGTGTGCCAAAAATGACTGACGATTTGTAAAAATTTGCTAAAGGTAACGAAAAAAAAAAAATGGTTTTAAAAAAAATTGAAATGTACTGTTATAGAGCTCCTCTTAGGAAGCGAGAATTTTATTTCCAAAGTTTGGAACTAGTTACAAAGTTGGTCAATAGATGGCGCAGTTCCTTCGAAAATTTATTTTAAGAAAATAATTTTTCAAAGCAACCGCCAATTACAGCCACAACGAGGCGCTGTCTGAGGACAAAGATTACAAATGCCCGATCAAATTAATTTAGTTGATATGATCTGACATGTATCTTTTAGTATTTTTTAATTATAAAAAACAGCATAATGGTTATTTTAGTAAATCTATTAGATTATCGTGATTATATTTGTACTAAAATATAAAATCCAAAAACAAAAAAAAAAGTAATTTGAAACATTTATTTTATACTCATATTCAAAAAATTATCAATAATTGACTAAATTTCAACGACGAATGACTGTTTCTCTTTGATATGAATTAACTGCAAATTTGAAAAATTGTAGTTTGGAATTGAGCTGGGCTTGGAAGATTTTATCTTTAACGTTTTATGTTCTATTTCCTAACCACGAATTATTAAAATGCTAAATATAATATTTTTTACTTATTTTGACCTAAATTAATACAAAATAATGAAAATATGCTTAATAAAGATTCTGCTCCAAAGGATTAGATGTCTTTCAACAAGTTTACTAACTGGTCAGTTGAGATCCCATTCGTCCAGACTATGGTCACCCCTCTATCTTAACCCTTTGTTTACGGGTGGTATAATAAATAGACCAGAATAGCTTCATCATGCTAAACGCCGTAAGCAAAATATTAAGGTGAATCCAGTTAAATGAAGAAAAAAAAAGATTAGTTTATTCAGTAAAAATTTATAGATATTTAGTTCTTACTTCGTAACTTAATTGATTGGTGAATTATTTAATTAGCATATTTCAGTTGCATTCTTAAAACCGTGCGTGAAAATTCCGCGGGTCACTATACAAATTATTTTCACATTTATTAATATCGAATTTAACACTTACTTCTATGATGCTGTAGTGATCTCCATCAATGTCAATAAATGGTTTCATGTTATTCAAAACGCTAATAAAGTAAAATAAATAAGTATTATATATATATCAGGTTATGAACTTTGCACGACCTTAACTGTTTTAAAATAATTTCAATTCATAATAAAAAAATGGAAAACACAGATTATGCACTTTAATGTAGCACCCCGTACGCTCTCATACGTGGGTTCTGCGCAAGTTCTGTTAAAAGAACCGAGATTGTTTTGAGGCTAACTGCGTTGCTCAGGACTTCGTAAGTGAGAGCGTTGGTTATGAAAAATCTGCATTATCACGCATTTTATAACCGTCTTTTAACAGCCGACCCGATGTTTGGGTTTATGACTCCCTATGTTCAACTCTGTAGTCTTATAATTTTGAACCCAATCCAGAAGACAGGGGAACTCCTGGATCAAGTATTGGGAGAAATCTGTTTTCGTGGAGGACTTTTTTGATGGAACTTATCCGCATTTGCGTAACACGCTGAGGAAAACCACCCACGGTTAGCCTGGCGGCAAGGGGACTCTTATTCATGATCCGTCTACCACTGAGGCTATCTTACGTCATCACTGTGGTCGGGGCGAGCCGGGTGCAGAATTCGAGTAGACCAGCCATCGGTGGGATTCAAACCCGGGTAACGTCATTGGGAGGCGAGTACTCTATCCCCTGAGCCACCGTGGCCCTGCATAACCATATAGGCATTTTTGTACTCATGTCCCTTAAAATATATTTTAAAAATTCTTGTCAGTAGGAAAATCAAAATTATAATCATATTGCAGATAGCAAATTAATATTTAAGGACAGAAGAAGAAAAAAACGATAACGGAGTGAAAAGGAATGACGAATCACTACTAAGGAAAGCGGAATTAGAAAGATCAAAATCATCTTAATTGGTGAAGGAAATTTAGATTAAGAAAAAGGGGGTTCTCAAAAACACCTTCAAATTTCGTCCATTTTCATATTGTTAATCTATTTTTTTCCTTTCTGATAATGCATCGTCAGAATTTCATAATATTTCAGTTTTCCTTTGCTTAAATATTAATCTGCGACCTCTATTATGCAGCCTTATTTTAATAAAGGTTCTAAAAATGATCATTAAAGGAAGTGATTATGGAATAGTTAAATTTGTAAGAAATTGAAAGATATTGTTTAGACTAAGGAGTTAAAATTTTTTATTTTTTTTTAAAAAAAAATGGTATATTTGATGTGAAAAAAATGGCAATTGATGTTGTATAATAACGTTTTCTGTCGTATTATTTTCTAAGCAAATTTTCAGTTAAAGTTTATAGAATTAATAGAAAAGTTACTGGTTTGATAATTATTATAATATAAAATTTAGAAACAATCATTTTTATTTATTTATATCTACAATATTTTTAAAATAAAAAAATTAACAAGAAGAATTGAAGTAATAATTCAGTAATTTTTTAAAAATATTTTTATATTTTTTAAAAACACGGGTAAAAATGCTTTATTTCAATTGCAATTTATAAAAAAATTAAAATTTACCTCTGTATCCTTCTGCATACAATACTAACTCCTGGTAATTCACAAGCGGACTTCAGTCGTTCAACCATAGACTGAAAAAAAAAATCGTATAATTAGATACAAATAATGAAATTAAATATAAACTAATAAAAATTTATGAATAAAAAATTAATATAACTGGTTTTATAGTGGAATTATTTTATTCCATTTACATATTAACTGAATTAGTTTGAATTTAATTAATAAATGCATGAAATTAACATGTGTTTTTTTTCACTCAACACTTCACTACAGTTAGAAATTTAAATCTTTAACAGTGAGTAGCACTATACCAACTATCAAAAATACGTTGATGAATTTACAAAAAATCAATATCAGGAAAGCAGGGGGTCTATCTAAAACGGAAAAACATGGCAAGGGGTCTGAATTTTATCTAAATAATTTTCTCCATGTCTTTGCGACATTAATTCATAAACTTAACTTGGTTTATAATATCATTTTCCCTCCAATTTAAAAGAGAAAAAAAATTCTGTTTTCATGTAGGTGTTTTAAAAAAAAAGTTCTTATACGTACCCAATGAAAGAAAGGTAGAACCTCAGAACCACTTCTCGAAAGACGAACAGCCTCATCCATTCCTATCTAAAATATAAAAGAAACACGATTTCGTTTCATAAAGTTTCGTTTCGTTTCATGAGGCCTTTTTTTTTTTTTTTTTTTTTTTTTTTTTTTTTTTTTTTTTTTTTTTTTTTGCTCTGTTGCTACTAATGATAATCAATTAATTTTGATTATCATTAATAGCACTATATATTTAATAAAAAAAAATTAAATATGTTATTTTATGATTAATAGCAATTAATAGCTTTTACTATTTCATTGGAATTTTCAAAAAAAAAGGAAGAAAAAAAAACAATTTAATTTATGGAATAAGATATCGGCTGCAATTGGATACTTGCAAGTGACCTAATTGTAGGTCTATCGTGTCATTCGTTGATTCAGAAGTTAATCAGGTTTAACACACGCGTAGAGCTGCCCAATGGGCTATTGGCGACGGACTGGAAAACATCCCATAGGATGATTTGGAGGTACGCCATCAAAATTTTGAAACTCTGCAGAGGGAATCACATTTGTGAGGCCACTTCTTTTATTTAGACATAGATCTGAAGGCAAAAGAAATTTTTCCCAGATCCCGGAACCTATGGTACAGCCAACGAACGAGCACGGATCTTTCGACACACAGATTAAACGAGTACGAATATTACTTGTACTCAGTGGGATTAAGCGGAGACTAGGATCGAACCCCCGTTCCTCCGGACCGAATTCCGATTCTCTAAAAACTGGATTATCACGGTTGTTTGATTTAATTGGTGATATCCAATTAAATCAAATTAAAAACTGGGTTATCTCGGTTATTTGATTTAATTGGTATTATCCAATTAAATCAAATTAAAAACTGGGTTATCACGGTTATTTGATTTAATTGGTGTTATCCAATTAAATCAAATTAAAAACTGGGTTATCACGGTTATTTGATTTAATGGGTGATATCCCATTAAATCAAATTTAAATCTCATGGTTGGGTCTAATGACGTATTATTTTCGAGTGCAATTATCCCCTTTGAATTGGATAACGACCTTCTACTTTACGTGTTTCGAAAGATACTGCAGTGCACAGTAAAATACTCTATATCAAATTGTTAGTACAAATTATTTAAAGCGTTTTTAGAATCACTCCTCTGCCTACTCATCTCTGACCATTGAGTCCGGTTAGAATGAAAGAGACCTTCATCATTCAATGCAGTAACAGTTTTTAAAAATTGGATGCGTATCAGTTTATTATTCCAAAGTGCCGACGTTTATTCATATAATATACAAAATCATAACTCTGTGGCGTGTAAAGAATGAAATGTTACCTCTGGTTCGGGAAAAAGGTGACAATATTGCATTCCGTGATCTACGTGACATATTCCTAAACTGTAGCAAACTACATCAGGTGTTTCTCTGCGATTGAGCCTAAAAAAATATTGAGAAAGAAATTCGTTAATGGTAAAATTATCATGTAGTGCGAAAAAGCGTAAACAAAAGTACCACTTGTTGTATTTTACATAAAAAGTTCTAACTTTCAAAACAGCGATACCTAACGATGCATGTTTTTTATTTGTTTAGATGTTTTAAACTTAAAGCAGCTACATGGTATAACAAAAATACAACATACCGCTCAATAGAACTTGCGAAAACAACTTTCATTGTACTGTGTGGGGTAAGAAAGCAAAAGACGTACGGCGAAAAGACATTTTTTGGTGAAAACAGAGATTTCACCAAACAATTAATACTTTAGATCATATTTGGATCGAAATACCTTACTTAATTCCTTCAGCAAATGCTATCTGATTTACAACGAAATACACGGACAAAAGTTTAAACAATTATGTGGTTCCAGCAAGACAGAGCGCTGACAAAATTTCTTCAGTACTGAGAAAAATTACTTGTTGATTTGGTTTGCCTTGGGCCTGTTTTTTGGTTTCATAGATCTGTCCTACTTAGAGAGTTTTTCGATGGAGATGTCCATGTTGTCGCTAGAATTGGCGATCAAAATGGGCCATAGGTGGCGTAGAGCAGAATCTATGGCAACAGTTCGCATGCTTTCACCATTAGCGTGTGGAGAGTCATAGGAGAAGGAAATTCGTTGAGTTTCTCTCTTGATTTTAAATAGATAAAAAACTTTTAAGTTGGAAAACTATTTGGAGCTGAAAACAACTTTGAACATAGTTTAAAGAAAGCTTCGTGGAAATTTAGAAAAAAATATATATATTTGATAATTAAATGCGAAATATATTAAAAAAAGAGGAAAATATCGTAGTACATTCCTAGACAACTGAGAAGGGGGTAGGATCAAGACATGGAACCGGTGTACTCCCCAGATGGCGTATTCGAGCGTTGCGATCGCAAATGAGCGTTATTGGAATTTTAAAACATGAATGTGATTCAACTTCATGTGAAATCAGTATTGCAGGTGGTGATCGCTCGTTTGATAATTTGTTTAAAACGTTTCAATAATTAAGAAGGTTCATTGTCCAATGTTTTTCATCTTTATTTTCAAAAAGGTGCCCTTTCGCGGTTCGCCCTTTTGCTGCTTGGACCGACATTGTGCAGTGAAAGTTGTTTGTTTGGCAATCACTCTTAGTTTTGTTTTTGTGATTATTTTGCTATACCGTGTCGAGCACAACAGCTCAAATTTGAATGATTTTTGTGTCATATTTATCTAATTAATTTTTTACATGATAAAGTTCTAAAATTAAAAAAATAATAATAAATTACCGAGATTTCATTTTAGATAATTTTTTGATTGATATTGACTCGGCAGGACGTTTCCAAAGCGAGCTTTCATCTCATTTTATTTATCTTTTTGAACTAATATCTACGCTGCTGCAAACAATTAGAATAACATTTACACTATTAAAATATATAAATAAAAAGCGTCTAAGTTACTATACATTTTTAAGTAAAACAATTTGTAAGGTTTTAACAAAAAATTTAAATTTTATGAAGATTTTCTGAAATTTTAGGAATAACTGTCTGAAGAACGCATATAATATCACTTCACTGTAGTACAAAAATCAGATACTGTTAATACAATTTCAAATTCGCAACTTCGAAAAAATTTCCCAAAAAATAATTAAATATAATTTTTTTTTGACTAAAAGTCATAAAAAATAATATATGTATAGATAATTTATATACCACGTTGAAATAAATATTATATGAAATCGTAGAATGCTTCATGTATACATATCGGTCATATTCAAACTTTATAAATTTCATCTATTCGAATCAAGATATTATAAATTGATTTGTATGGATTAAGGATCATATTTTGTTTAGTCTAGAAATCAAAGTTTGATAATCTTCTTTGAAAACGTGTGTTCGACGATATTCCTTCATTCCAAATCACTCGGCATACTGAAATTTTTGGCAGACCTTGTACATTTTATATAGTTATCAGTCATTATCGAACTTCAAAATAATGAATATTACCAGATAGAAAATAAGAAGTTAAAAAAATTATATAAAATATAAGCTTTCGCCTTTATTTTTTATTAATTTCTTCATTGTAATACGAGACACCTTATAATCTAGTATCAGTTATAAAGGTTGCAAAATCGCGAGTGCTATTGAGTATATTTTTTAAAGAAAGAAGCATTTTGAAATGAATTTTACACATTAAAAACTATAAACTCGCCTTTAAAAACAGAATCTATTTATACTGCATAATTAAACTTGAACTATTTTGGTTTATTTATGTCTTATACTAATTTAGTAGAGACGGACAAAGCTTTGGCTAAGATTCCCAAATTACATAAAAGTTATTACTAAAATATATATATAT